TTACATATATATATATATATATATATGTGTGTGTGTGTGTGTGTATTGAATGAAATCTCACATACTCACCAAGGCTGTACTTATTTTATTTAAAAAAAAAAATAATAAAAATACAGTGAAAACAGTAATAATTTAAAAATATGATTACAATTTAAAATAACTGTTTTCTATTTAAAGGTGACATAGCATGAAAATCTGACTTTTCCAGGTTTTAAGTGCTATAATCAATGAAGAAATTCTGCTTTGCCATCACAGGAATTAATTCACTTTTAAAATATATTCAAAGTTTCAAGCCAAAAATAGTTATTTTAAAATGTAATATTATTCCACAATATTAATGTTTTTAATATATTATTGTTGTTGTTTTGGACTGAACAGACATTATAAGTTTAAGGTTTTGGACGGTGGAGTAACATAGGGGTTAAAAGTCTGGAGCGATAACTAAAGATACAGAGATTCAACCACACAGGGAGCAATCTATGAGCTATAACCATTGAGCCTTTGGGCAAGACACTTAACCCCAGATTGCTCCGGAGGGACTGTCGCTATAATAAATGTACTGTAAGTCACGCTTGATAAAATTGTGAACTTGAGTTTTTCTCCAAGACCATTTATTGGTCCTTTGTTGTCAAATGGCATGGTGACCAGTCCTTTGCTGTTAGAAAAAACAGTTTTTGTGTGTGAGAGTGAAATGAAGCAGGCCTTCATAACGACTCTCTATTTTAAGGCGAGTAGAATTTGCCACCTGTCTCTGCTTCTCTGGATGCCTTGACAGCTCGTTTCCCCCTATCATAACAGTCCACAGACAGTCTCGTCCCTGTGTTATTCACAAAAATTCAGTACTGTATTTGAGGTTCAGTTTGTTCGCAGGGCAGCGATTCCCGTCATTGGTGGGGTCTTGGTGTCTCCTTCCTTTTTCTGTTCATAAAACTACAGGATTAAAGGATTCGACTGCAGTTTGGATCTTGTGTCATGGCAGAAGCAGGTAGCCAACAGAACCAATGGGAGGAAGGTTTTGAGGATGAATTCGGAGAAATTATCAAAACTCGATCAGGTAGGAGAAATTATGATTTACTTAAGTTATTTGGAATCTTTACATGTTGTACATGAATTTCAATATGTTCATTAAGTGCTAAAATAGTATGCCTTAGTTATTTTTTTTACGTAAACATAATTCAGCTTAATCATATTTATAAGCAGCACTCCTAGCCATATTCAAAGTAATATAAAAACTCGAATCGAATTTTATACAGCAACATATGTGTTAGTGAATTTATATTTACTGCATCATATTTTCACGTTTTATTGTGTGTCTGTTCATTTTGTTACTCAAATTTACTACTCAAAAAACATTTACTATTACATTTTGAACAATCCAACTTGAAAACTAATTTCTGGCCTATGCTCCACCCTGAATGAGTTCACATCTATATTTTTTTTCATCACTGTCATGCTGTATTCAGTAGGGATCATGAGTGATCTATAAATGCTCTCGGGTGGAAATAGGACAGGTCTTAAAGAGCTTGAAATAGTTGCAGCTGCCTAGTGTTGGGTTTCAGAGTTCCTTGTTGGAGATTTAGCCATGTTGTTGTTCGCTGTGTGTTGTTTTGCTGGCAGAAGACCCTTTCTCTTGTGTTTTCTGTGCGAGTGTGTTTATGATCAGCAGTGAAATTTAGGAGAAAGTAGGCAAATGAGTCAACAGTCTGATGAGCAGCCACAGGACACAAACAGTACAGTAAACCTCTGAGAACAGAGCTTTAATAGAGGACATCTGTTATCTGTCCTAAATCGCGCCATACACTGGTAATTTAATGGCTTTTGGGTTTAGCAAAAAAAAATATTTGTATCCAAAAATATCAAAAACCAATTTTCACTTTCGTTCATGGGTTGGCTGTATGGTTCTTTGGAAACTGAAAGTCTTTTTTTGTTACATTTTTGGTTCTTCTGATGGCTTCTTCAAAATGTATGATTTCTCTAAAGCAGTGGTTCCCAACCCTGGTCCTGGAGGCACCCCAACACTGCATGTTTTGCATGTCTCCTTAATCAAACACACCTCATTCAGGTCATCAGCTCATTAGACCTGAAACTGGTGTGTCGGAGAAAGGAGACATGCAAAATGTGCAGTGTTGGGGTGCCTCCAGGACCAGGGTTGGGAACCATTGCTCTAAAGCACCAGTATATAAATGGTTTTCTAGACAGTAGAAGGGTGAATTTCACAAAAGCTATAATATCTGACTCATACTTCACCCCAAAATTAAAAGACATAAATAAGATAGATACTATATTTTGTATGATGAAAAATGACTATTTATTTATTTATTTATGCATGCATGTGATAAAGAGAAATTTGGGGATAAATATTCTTTAATATACAATCTCAGACAGAAATATGCTTAGAAGATTTTTTTTATGTTTGTAAGTAATTTTTTATTAATTATCTTCATGAAAATAATGTCAATGCAAAAATGTGTATATCATTTGCTTTTTATACCTAAAATACAGTTATTTATTCACTTATTATTAATAATATTATTATTATTAGCCTTCTGATTTTGGGGGGAAATTACCTGAATGTTTTTTTTTTTTTTTGGTTTAATTCACCCAAAACATTTTTTTTTTTTTTTGGAACTTGAATTAGCCTTCTGATTTTGGGGGGAAATTACCTGAATGTTTTTTTTTTTTTTTTGGTTTAATTCACCCAAAACATTTTTTTTTTTTTGTGGAACTTGAAGTTATTCCTGGCTCTAAAGTCCTGTTTGTATCACATATTTATTTATTTTGTTTACGTTAATATCTTATTTTAAATGCGTTACTGAACCCTTCTGAGGCTCCTGGTATTCAGTGGCATTTTTACAGTTGGACGAGACAGTTTGACTCCTGGGACAATTTGAGGTTGCAACTCTATCTTCTGCTTATAGTATCCATTCTGTCTTTGTGGTAAATACCACTGCATGAGGTCTGCAGAAGTGACTGACATGTTGACATCTGCTATAGAATCTTCTGACTTTAAGAAATTCTCGAAATAACTATGCTTTCTGCTTCACATACTCCAGAGAGCACATTTTATCAAAGAGTATAAAATATTTTATGCCAGCTGTCAAAATTGTTATATTTAAGCCTTTTAAATAGCTTTAAAAAAGCTTGTTTTTATCTTGTGGGGAGAGGGGCAGGGTTTGTTGTCAGCCTTTTTTGCTTGGGCCTTTCCCAGGGACAGTCAATAGTACTGGTGTTTCTATTTTTGGCTTTAATGGGAATATATATACTGTAGAAGATATAATGCTGTATGAGCAGCCACTGTAAGGCAGTATTGAGCAAGTTCTGCTGAAAACATCATTCAGATCTCTTGAACATCTCTCTTAGCAAACTCAGTCACTGGAGACCTCTGATCATTTTTTCATTACATAACCAGAGAAGCATACACTGAAAAAAAGATGCCTCAAGTATTGTATTCTCAAGAAATGTCTACATTTTAAATGCCGCAAAAGTGTTTTACTTTATGATGGGATTACTGAGAAACTGTTTGCAATTAAATTATGAATAAATGACTTTTTCTAATTTTGATCGATACTTGAGGATTATATATACCAAACAAGTATTATTTTTTGAGTTACATGTTTGACTGCCACCATGGGTGGCATTCTGAGGAATCCCCAAGGGTGTCTCCAGTATCTTCTCATTTTACAATGTGGAGTGAACAGATATAAATGCTGAAGTTTTGAACTAAAATACTTTTTGAAGTTTAGGTGTTTACTGCTCTCTATCAGGGTGTGTTTTAAAGCCCTGGAGGCTTTTGTGGCATTTGCCGTTCACTCTTTACTTCAGTTATACAAATAAGCAGTGGTTGGCATCAGGGGTGAAGAAAAATGATATTGAAATGAGATCTCCACCCCTGGTTGACATTTAAAAAATTCAAATAACAACTAGTAGCCTACATTAAATGTAAATACTGCACATATATGGTCTCTAAATGAGAAGCATAGCAGACATGTTTTGATGCGTGAATAAATGTTTAACTGAGATCTTTTCAATATTGAATGACAGTATGATGAAAAATCTATCTATTTTAAAGACAGCAACCTGTATTTTGAATGTTATTTTTGTCCTCATCTGATTCAAGTTTGCTGCAACTTCTATCTGCTTCTGTTTAGCTCAATAGCAAGTAAAAATTTGGCAGAGCAATATACAGTGCAAACTTATTACATTAGGAAAAAGAAACTATTGATGAGATAATAATATATTTTCTGGAGCAAATATGATTATGCCCTTCCAAGAGACATAAATAAAATAATTCTCTCCATTGTGCAGTGGGATCATTTCATTTTTAAAATTTTTTTAATCTCACAAGAATGGATTACAAGCACAGACTGTTATTTATTTAGGATTTCTCTGGCAGATGTACAGATGGCATGGTGATGTTCTGAGTCTTATGGTTTTATGTGAGATGTGCCACCAACTGCACAAAAACATGAAATGGCCCATTTCAGACCACTGTATGGAATTCATCCATTTTTAATAGACCCCAGGCGTATTACAGATGAGATGAGAACGAACGGTAAACGGTGTTTCTTTTAACAGTGCAGTTTATTTTCTAAATGTCCAACTTGTAATTAAAGGCTACAGAAAATAATTTCATACTAATTACGCATTATACAGTGTGGTAATTGGGTACAATGACTTTCACGGTTCTTTTTCAAGGATTTTAAAAAAGAAAATTTGAGCGAGCTATCATTTGAGGTTCGTCCTCAGCAAACAAAATTATATTTTGGCGCCCTACATGCTAACCGTCAACTATCTTTCCTTAAAGACTTTTGAAACAAACTCTTAATGTTTTGATGTATATTTGTAATACTTAGAACAGGCTAAATAAATATGATAAATAATGACAGTGTTTTATGTTGATGTTATGCGTTCTCTGCGCGTTCCAAACCAAAAGTGATGGAGCGCCGTGCTGTTGCTATGGTTACCGCGATTTCTGTTCGTGATATTAACCGAATTTGTGCGCTGACTAACTTGTAATTCAACTTTCCTGTTTACTGAAATGTAAGGAACTCAAATTGAAACGTATTCATTATTATCGGCACCCTGCTCACGTACGTAATTAGCCTACAATCTAGCACAAACAAGTTTAATAAAGTTGTTCGTTGCATCCTTGTGATATCGATCCCTCTCGGGTGGCTACTATCGTTCCCCTTTAGATAGAGCTGTAGTCAATCAGCCCGCATGCCAGAACACCGTTACACCTGCCGGTATCAGCGGATCACAGCAGAGCTATAACTGCACCCAAGTGAGGGAGTACGAGAAAATAAAGCGGCAAAAGTGTCCACCCACAGTTCCTTCACCATATCATCTTCGGCTTTAGGCATGGACGAGTCTGTTTAACAGCAAGGAAGCCGGATAATCAAACTGCGCTCGCTGTTTTTATATACACAGGTAACGGACACACACCACAAACGCGGCTGCCTGCGACTCCAAAACCTATTACTGAGGAAATAGTTGCGTTTGTTATGGTGTAAAATGCTCATTTAGGTAAGACTGAATCATCATGCTGAAATACTCTTCCAGTGTGAGGTGATTGTTCGGCTGTTGACGGCTTTTATTACGGCGTGACACGTAAGATTTAACCAGATTTAACAATAGATCCTCCAGCCGGGTGCGTCTTGTCTATAACGGGATCTGCTCTCACGCACGGAAAATGTTGTTTTATTGTTAATTACGCGTGTAGGGGTGTCTTTCGTTGTTGTTTCTCGTACGCGTTACTGGTTGATGGCTAAATGTGTACACTTTGTAATCAGTCGTGATTTTATAGACGAATGCGAGAGAAAGTTTGGTGGTAGTCGCTGCTGTATAAACTACACGCAGTTCAATCACATGCGCTGTTGTCATGTAGACACGGAGTATTTCTAGGCTCATCGAAACATTTGGGTTTGCGCTTGTAAATTGAGAGGTGGCTGTGGTGGAAAACATATGGCTGTAATCTGTGAATACCGTTTTGCCTCGGATGTGTGTGCTGAGATTAGGCGGCTAAAAGCAGGTGTGTGCGTCCAGCGTTTTTGT